GGCTGGGGTGGGGAATTCTGGGAGTTGGAGTCCACCCATCTTAAAGTTGACACGGTTGAGAAACACTGCTCTAGAGCCATCCAATCATTGCCATGCCAAAATAATAATGAAGACAAGGCCATACATCACATCAAAGATGGTTGGCGATGCTATGACGCTGCAGTAAGTCGCTGGTAGGGAAAGGCCCTAAATCTGCCATTGTTTGGGAAATTCCTTGGTTTTTTTATTGCCTCTTCACATGTCTCTTGCTCTTTTCGGCATCCCCTTTTTTCTTCCATTCCACAAATTAATGCCTTCACAAGCACCTTGGAAATGGGTTGAGGACATACCTACTGCTTAGGTTATCCCACTGAGATCCCACCTTTACCTGGGGGGGGGATATAAATGGGGTCATGTCATTCCACCCTCATAACCCACCCCAAGGAAATGCTGAACCACAAATGATCCAATAACAGTATTTTTTCTGTGCAGGTTTTTTTTTTTCTCTTTTTTATATATAAACAGAATTATTTCCTACTTTGCAACAAACTCTGCAAGCCAACTCATTAATCTTTTTTTAATATATATATTTATATATACCATATGCTTTTTCTTTCTGCTTGATTTAATTTTGCTTTTCCTCCTCATATTCAGGGAGGTGTGAACAGGATCAAACAGTACAAATTGTGACCACAAATCCAGGTGCAACCTTAGATATTTTTTTCTTTCTTTCTTTTTGGAAGGGGCGGGTGGCTGGTATATATAGATATTTTTTTTAAAAAAATCAGGTCTAAGTTACTTGCTATTGCAATAGTATTTTACCATTTTAGGAACCATTTATTGTTTCTTTTTTTTTAAAAAAAATTCTGTTCAGAAGTGGGCAGAAGGGAAGGACACAAAATAGAGATTTCCTTTTTTTAAAAAAAACCTCATCTCCTGATTTTTTTTTTTTAAACCTGAAATCCTAAAACACTGCTGAAGTTTAATTAAAAAATTATATAATATCAAAAAACACACACAAAAAAAGCAACCCTGTTGTCATTCAATCCACCACTATTGCCTTTCCTAACAACCTGGGTTTCAGCTATCATACAAACACCGTACCTCTATACAAACGCGCTTTTAAACTAATAAAATAAAGATTACTTACAAGAAAGGGAGGGGGAGAGCGAGAGCGAGAGCGAGAGAGAGACAGAGACAGAGACAGGAAAGGAGGGACTGAAGGAAGATTTTAGGATGGTATTTCCCTGTGCCTTAAAAAAAAGAGAAAGAAAAGAACGTGGAACAATGATCAGGTAACTGAGTGGCTTGAGTTAAGAGGACGGAGCAAAAAGGCAGAAATTTGGCATCACCCTGGTTCTCTCCATGACAAAATGCAGCTAAAATCCCGTTGGCTCGATCGCAGGTTCAGTCCCCGGGAACTGTGATGGAATTTTGCTCGAGAGAAAAAGGAACGCGCCTTGTCTGCAAACGCAAAGGTGCTGCCTGTCCGCCCACCCTCGGCTTTTCCGCACAAGGCCGTTTCTAA